TGTTGGATGATAGCATGCCGTTGTTGGATGATAGCATGCCATTGTTGGATGATTGCATGCCATTGTTGGATGATAGCATGCCCTTGTGGGATGATAGCATGCCGTTGTTGGATGATAGCATGCCGTTGTTGGATGATAGCATGCCCTTGTGGGATGATAGCATGCCGTTGTTGGATGATAGCATGCCCTTATGGGATGATAGCATGCCGTTGTGGGATGATAGCATGCCGTTGTTGGATGATAGCATGCCATTGTTGGATGAGAGCATGCCGTTGTTGGATGATAGCACACTATTGTTGGATGATTGCATGCCGTTGTTGCATGATAGCATGCTATTTTTGCATGATAGCATGCCGTTGTGGGATGATAGCATGCCATTGTTGGATGATAGCATGCCGTTGTTGGATGATAGCATGCCGTTGTTGGATGACAGCATGCCGTTGTTGGATGATAGCATGCCCTTGTTGGATGATAGCATGCCGTTGTTGGATGATTGCATGCCATTGTTGGATGATAGCATGTCCTTGTGGGATGATAGCATGCCCTTGTTGGATGATAGCATGCCCTTGCGGGATGATAGCATGCCGTTGCTGGATAATTGCATGCCGTTGTTGGATGATAGCATGCCGTTGTTGGATGAGATCACACTATTGTTGCATGATAGCATGCCGTTGTTGGATGATAGCATGCTATTGTTGGATGATAGCATGCCGTTGTTGGATGATAGCATGCCGTTGTTGGATGATAGCATGCCCTTCTTGGATGATAGCACACTATTGTTGGATGATAGCGTGCCGTTGTTGGATGATAGCATGCCGTTGTTGGATGATAGCACACTGTTGTTGGATGATTGCATGCCGTTGTTGGATGATAGCATGCCGTTGTTGGATGATAGCATGCCCTTGTTGGATGATAGCATGCCGTTGCTGGATAATTGCATGCCGTTGTTGGATGATAGCATGCCGTTGTTGGATGAGATCACACTATTGTTGCATGATAGCATGCCGTTGTTGGATGATAGCATGCTATTGTTGGATGATAGCATGCCGTTGTTGGATGATAGCATGCCGTTGTTGGATGATAGCATGCCCTTCTTGGATGATAGCACACTATTGTTGGATGATAGCATGCCGTTGTTGCATGATAGCATGCCGTTGTTGGATGATAGCATGCTATTGTTGGATGATAGCATGCCGTTGTTCGATGATAGCATGCCTTTGTTGGATGATAGCACACTATTGTTGGATGATAGCATGCTATTGTTGGATGATAGCATGCCGTTCCTGGATGATAGCACACTATTGTTGGATGATAGCATGCTATTGTTGGATGATAGCATGCCGTTGTTGGATGATAGCACACTGTTGTTGGATGATAGCACACTATTGTTGGATGATAGCATGCCGTTGTTGGATGAAAGCATGCCGGTGTTGGATGATAGCACACTATTGTTGGATGATAGCATGCTATTGTTGGATGATAGCATGCCGTTGTTGGATGATTGCATGCCGTTGTTGGATGATAGCATGCCGTTGTTGGATGATAGCATGCCGTTGTTGGATGAAAGCATGCCGTTGTTGGATGATAGCATGCCGTTGTGGGATGATAGCATGCCGTTGTTGGATGATAGCATGCCCTTGTGGGATGATAGCATGCCCTTGTTGGATGATAGCATGCCGTTGTTGGATGATAGCATGCCGTTGTTGGATGATAGCACACTATTGTTGCATGATAGCATGCTCTTGTTGCATGATAGCATGCCGTTGTTGGATGATAGCATGCCGTTGTTGGATGATAGCATGCCGTTGTTGGATGATAGCATGCCGTTGTTGGATGATAGCATGCCGTTGTTGGATGATAGCACACTATTGTTGCATGATAGCATGCCGTTGTTGGATGATAGCATGCCGTTGTTGGATGATAGCATGCCCTTGTTGGATGATAGCATGCCGTAGTTGGATGATAGCATGCTCGTGTTGCATGATAGCATGCCGTTGTTGGATGGTAGCATGCCGTTGTGGGATGATAGCATGCTATTGTTGGATGACAGCATGCCGTTGCTGGATGATAGCATGCCGTTGTTGGATGATAGCATGCCGTTGTTGGATGATAACATGCCGTTGTTGGATGATAGCACACTATTGTAGCATGATAGCATGCCGTTGTTGGATGATTGCATGCCGTTGTTGGATGATAGCATGCCATTGTTGGATGATAGTATGCCGTTGTTGGATGATAGCACACTATTGTTGGATGATAGCACACTTTTGTTGGATGATTGCATGCTATTGTTGGATGAAAGCATGCCGTTGCTGGATGATTGCATGCCGTTGTTGGATGATAGCACACTATTGTTGGATGATAGCATGCTATTGTTGGATGATAGCATGCCGTTGTTGGATGATTGCATGACGTTGTTGGATGATAGCATGCCGTTGTTGGATGATAGCATGCCGTTGTTTGATGATAGCATGCCGTTGTTGGATGATTGCATGCCGTTGTTGGATGATAGCACACTATTGTTGGATGATAGCATGCCGGTGTTGGATGATAGCATGCTATTGTTGGGTGATAGCATGCTATTGTTGGATGATAGCATGCCGTTGTGGGATGATAGCATGCCGTTGCTGGATGATAGCATGCCGTTGTTGGATGATAGCATGCTATTATTGGATGATAGCACACTATTGTTGGATGATAGCATGCCGTTGTTGGATGATAGCATGCCGTTGTTGGATGATAGCATGCCGGTGTTGGATGATAGCACACTATTGTTGGATGATAGCATGCTATTGTTGGATGATAGCATGCCGTTGCTGGATGATAGCATGCCGTTGTTGGATGATAGCACACTGTTTTTGGATGATAGCATGCTATTGTTGGATGATAGCACACTATTGTTGGATGATAGCATGCCGTTGTTGGATGATTGCATGCCGTTGTTGGATGATAGCATGCTATTGTTGGATGATAGCATGCCATTGTTGGATGATAGCATGCCGGTGTTACCTATCTGTTATTTTCAACTTCTGTCTTTATATATCTGCAACAGACATCATTCGACACGGCCACCAGGGATGAGGTAAGTTGCATTATTGTTTATCATATTTCTCTTCTTATACCCAATGTTAATCTATTAACCCTTCAATGTTCTCAGACATGTTTTCGATTTCGTTTGATTATATTGTATATGACATTTCTTATTTAAAGTATTGTAAATGTGACTTTAAGGCCACGTCGTCGAGGTTTCCGCCAAATCTGGGCTTAGAGAGTACTTTATCTGCCCTATTTGAGTTTGATTTTTGCACACATTCATCTCGACCATAGGATTGGTGATTGACAACAATTAATATTCATTCGCGGTAACGTTGTAAACATAGAGACGTGTTATTATTTGATAGGAAGGTATTGTTCATATGACACAGTTATAGTTGATGTTTGACAAGAATTGAAAATAATAGAATAAGGAAAAAAAACAATTGTCGTTGCGTTTGAACCAATTTTAGCAACACGTATATATAATGTAGTACTCATTATCGGACATTGGTAGCTTGTTCCAATCCTATGCAAGATGTAATGCTTTTCTAGGAATCACACAAATAGGATACTGCAGCGACGGCGTCAAAGGTAGTAAATTAGGATGTGTAAATGTAAATGGCTTCTTCCGATAAAAGGGGCCATACCATGTTGCAAGTACCGCTAACGAAGCATGGATGTATTGGGAGTGTGTGTGTTTTCTGTTTATCAACAATGTTGGGATTTCTGTGACAGAATGTGTCCCGCAAAACCCATCATCGATAAGTATCCATGGGGCATTTGTCATCAAACGTGATGACCATAGATACAACTCTGTCTTCAAAGGTTCATGGCAGTTTGTCAAAAATGTTTACTGAGAAAACAATATGTGCATGGACTTCTTCCTAGCTAACATCTACGTGAAACTTTGGGTCGGACAATCATCACGAAGTAGGCATCCCCTTGCTAATCTGATTATTTATGCATATGTTTGTTTATTTATCAAAACACGCGAATGTAGCCACGTAGATGAACTTAAGCTTCAGTTATATCGATGGCCTAATGGCGTTCAATTATATTCAAATAGTCAAGTCCTTATCACTGATTTACCCATCAGAACTAGAAACATACTTCGATCTGCGCATAAAGATTTAGAGTGACAACAAACAAGCCACAAGACAGGAGCTACGACTTTAACTTTCCAGCAGTAAACGTCCCATGTATGTGAGCAATATTCCTCATGCAACTCCCTGTTTTACTAGTTCCCTTGCTGTTTTCAGCTGACAAATAGACTTGCATTTGCATGTGTTTGTGACGATGGGCAGGATACCCTCGCCTTTTCACGAACAACTGCTGTCATCACTATTTGTGAGTGAGTTGTAGGTGCATGATCATGTTACAGTCAGAATCGTACATTGGACTGCTTTTAACAGAGATTTCATAAGATAACCGAAAGGCGTTTTTGTTATTATTCAATTTCAGCTGAAAAAAGTTAACTTACATTGATAAGTTTATATTCAATATCAGTTATGTGGTCTTTATTCTTTTCATAACACATAGCAAGAAACCCATTTCCCATACGGTTTGAAACTTTTCTGTCCACGACTCACAGTTCCACGACAGATCAACATAGTCCAGAGATAGGTCCTTGGTTCTCGTTAGAGCAAAAGAATTCTCTAACCAGACTCTAACCATTTCAACGTTTATACACCAGATCCTCGTGCTCTAACCTATTCATAAATCATCTTGTTATGACCAGAGCTTGCCTGCTTACCTCAATTATTCCAATTTTATTCTATTCTTGTGATTAAAGACTCACAACAATGCTGCTGTTGGTTGCTGGTCTGATCACCTTCTCGTGTCTCAGCCTGTCTGTCCTCGGTGCGGATGATGACAGAGACGCACTTTTCTACAAAGTGGACATATTCTTGTCCCCAAAGGAGGGAGGGATGAGAAGGCGGACATACGCAAGATTCAGGAGACTGTGAATAGTATAACGGACATCGGGGTTCTTTTTGCATTTAAGGTTTGAGCAATTGTAGAAACAAATTAGTGGAAAATGAAAAGCATATCATCAATAACGTAGTGCACTATAAATATATTTCAGTTATTTTGCGATTCATACCTAAGGCCAATTCGCTGCCATATTCGTTTTGATTGTGGCATTACCATTTACACTCTTCAAAGAAAGGACCCCCCAGGACGATTTTTAGTAAATTTATTGTACTTAAAAAAGTCGATATATTTAATTTAATATCATGGATACAAATATGAAATTTTGGAGCTCGTTAGTCAAATATTGTCGTTCTACAAAGGCATTGAAAACTGTTCATTGTCATGTCACATAAGGCCACAAGGTTGCGCTGAACTCAGTATCTCGTGTGACCGCCCAAGGCAGCAATCATGGCTCTGCATCTTCTCGACACTGACTGGATAAGTGTACAAATTCTGTCCTGCGGAATTCTGCACCATTCTGCTTGTAACGCGTTGGCCAGTTGTGGGAGTGTCTGTGGCGTGTACTGACGTTGACGTACACGTCGATCGAGTTCATCCCAGAGTTTGAGATCTGGAGATCTCTACGGCCAGGGCAAATCGTTGGTGTTGGCATTATGAAGGTAGTCTACCGTGTCACGGGCTGTGTGCGATAGAGCGTTGTCATGTTGAAACAGCGCCCTCTGGTGGTCAATGATTGGAAGAAGGTGAGGTTGAAGAATTCATTTAGTGATTTGTTGTCAACAACCAAGTCATATCTCGTGGTGTAGGATATGGCCTCCGACACCATCACACTACCGCCACCAAATTTGTCAAATTTACGTACACAATGTGGATTCAAACGCTCATTTCGACGACGATAAATACGTTTTCTTCCGGTGAAGAAGAAATCGTGATTCATCACTAAACCACACTCGTCTCCAGTTTCTCAAATTCCAAGGCTGTAAGGTATGGAACCAACGCAAGCGTTGCTGTCGATGGATCTGTTGCACAACAGGGACGATAGCTGGTCTTCTGGGTTGGATTCCAGGCTCGCGAAGATGGTTCCTGACAGTCTGGTCCAATATCCTCCTCAAACCAGGGATGCGTCCTGCAGTCTCCGTAGCTGTGGCATTGCGATGACGTAGGTGGAACAGTCGAATGTAGCGATCCTGTGCAGGGGTGGTAACAATTGGTTGGCCAGTTCTCGAACGGTCTGCAGTGGAATTGAACTGTGTGTATCGGTCACAAAGGTGGCACATGGTGCTGAGGTGGATGTTGAAGTGGCATGCAACAGAAGTCTGTGATTCCCCTCTTTGGATACGCCCTTTGGCGAAGTTCCGACTGGCAGCGCTGAGTCTCGGCATTTTCGAAAATGTTGACAATTGATTGACGATTATTGGCTTATGCTTGCTTTTTTATAGCCACTACCACGAGTAGTGAATGCCATACGTTGCACGTGCATTTTGCTTTACTGTTTTCCTCCATGACATTTTTGAACAAGTGTGAAAAGACATAGCAAATCGACAATGGCTGCATTTTGACGCACCGTTTGTCGAATATCAGGCCACCAACATTTTCCAATTATATAAATCCAATTTATATTCCAGAATTTTGTGTGGTCAGGTTCAATTAAATACATACCACCTGTGCGTTTCCTTTTTTGAAGAGTGTATATTGCTCTAATGAGGAATCTTCCACAGAATAAGGCTCACAAATGAGTGCATTCTGCTTGGATGACTATTCATATCAGGGCGTCTATTGAATTTGACTCGACACGAAACCTTACAGGAGTTAATAAGGGCATTTATAATGGCAGTACAAACATTCTATAGGAAAAATGCATAACAATTACTACATACGTATTGCATATGTTTACGGATGAAGGAATGACTAGGTAACTGTTGTGGGGGTTTTGAGAAAAAAATACATCTTTGAAACTGGATAATGAAATGGTTCTTCGCAAATGCATATCATTAAGCAATGTAAGTGTTAGTTCTTCAAAAACGTTTCTCAATTGATTGTTTTTGGTTTGAACAGGAGCTCGGGAATCCTAGGATTATTCTTGGTAAGTCTACTGCATCCTGATTTGTCTTTTCATATATTATACCATACAGGTCCATTATTCATCCTGCATGCAGGTGTTTGAAGTGAATGCGAATTTCTGTTTCTGTAAACAAAGGAAGCAAAGGACGTCTATTTCTAAACTTTACACATTTGGTAATAAGTTACTTCCGAACGAAAATATCTCATTTCAAAACATTGGAAAGATATGCCCCTGGACAGAAATATTAAATACAATTTTGGAAATGTCTGAAGTGTTGTTGAACATTTTGAAGAGTATTTCTTGTAAATATAGCATAAATAATTTTGCAGCCCATTACTTTCCTGTCGTCCATTCAAATATTTTGATTTTCCTTTTATGCCTTTCTCTTGCATTGACGTTTTATGTTAAGTGTTAGAAAATTTGGAAATATAGATAGTCTCAAGCTATGGGCCTCCCGGACGTCATAAGGCACACTCTGTTACGTACTTCATCACTCGATATCCTTTTTTAAATAGCGTTGTGACATCATTATTGATTGTTACGTCCTAGCCAATGTCCATTGTGACGTTATGGCAACTTCTGTTGCTATACAAACAGTTCTTCACATCCTGGGGCAAGGGAAGCGCTATATCTATTTGAATATCCCTTTGGGAATGAACACAAAAGACGATTGAGGAATTAAAGAAAGATCGATCGTTCCACTCATGTAAATTTTGAAAAGGTCAGTCGCACAATTGCAAGCTTTTTCTTCCATTGGCATTGTTGGACAAGCTTCGTATGTTACATCATCATGTCCCAGCGAGTAAGTCCTAGAAACCCTTTCTAGACCAATTATGTTGTTCACATATATTAAGCAGGACAAGTACTTAAAGATGTTTGTTTCTTGCACATGTGTCAGTTCTTGACGTCGAGAAAACATACAGTTGGCACCAGTTGACGGGCTTTCTATCACGCAAGGGATATGAATTCAGCGTCACAGCTGCGAAGGCTTCGCCAAGGAACACGGAGTCAAATTGACGAGGGATATGATGGCGACATCTTTCGGGGACGATGATCTAATCATTGACAGGAAGATATTTCCTGAGAAAGGTAAACACTGTGTAAACACATCGGTATTTGTTTTTCAAACTCCATAAACAATCAATAAACAGGCAATCTCGTCAACAGAATCGCTATAACTTGATTCTCTGGTCTAGACTGGATTATATACAGGCCACCGTCGTATGATGCTAGTATTGCTGGGTCGGCGAAAGGCAACACAATACACTTACTATGCAAATTGCCTGAGGGGCGGGTGTACAGGTCGAGCAGGTCATGCTTACTCTGTTAAACGCACGCTAAGAGAAACTTATAGAGTAAAGTTCAACCGTATCTGAGGTAATTCCCGTGCTCTTCATAGTAATGTTGGTAGTCTTTGACTTTGGAGGTAACATTACAAATCACATACTCGGAAATTGAATATTTAAAAGATCATTCATATAATTTTTGGGGAGTGACGATGTTACAAATTCGTTATTTACCCATTAGGCCTTGTTACATTGTGTTATTGACTTTAAATGAACCTAAAGCTCTGGAGAAAATATTAGTGTATACTAAAGGACTACTAAGAGAACACATTTGTACTGATCAAGAAAGTGATTTTTTATTCCAATTAAGCTAAAGAATCATTCATAATTTAGTCCTAATTTTGTGATTGCGAATTTTCAACTCCGTGAAATATCTGAGAAAATAGCTTGGATACATGATTATGTATTTATTTGTTTATGAAAATGTAATGATTATCTAATGTATGTATTCATGATCTTTTGATCTTATTTTCAAATATAAGGAATTACATTATATTCTCTTGTTGATTTAAAAGAACCCAATTTCATCACCATTGTCAATATGTAATATATGTTTATCATATTTAGGAGTATTCGTCTGCAATACTAAAAAAGTAAACACCACTAGAGGGCACTGGTCAAAAAAATATTTATTGCGCTTTCAAATTTCCCCAACACTGATGATTAATTCTCTGAAATACAAGTGACAAAACACTTTCCATATTCATAAGAAATATCTTTCCTAAGCAGAGTCGAACTTTAAAAATGGAGATTAGTGAAAATGGTGAAATAAGGGTAAGGTAAGGGCGGCAGGTTACTTTGGCCGAGTGGCTAGTGCCCTGAAGCAACAACGAAACTAGGTATAATTACCTATCATAAAGCACCAATCAAGCAGATTATACCATCCATACATGCAACTGTTATTGACCAAAACAACTGTAACAACACAACAATGTATTTACTTACATCATGTACATAGCAAACATGATACCTGAAAATATTGAAAAAGACTATAACTGATGAATATTATTTCAGTTATTATGCTAACCATCAGAAAGTAAAACAAAAACAACAGTTTGGTGGAAATAAGTGGGCGCAGTTTATTTCAAATTGGACAGCCTAGAGACACAAAACCTTTAATGGGTGCCTACCCGAAGGTACCTTGGCAACCCAAGCAAAGCAAAGGAAACACACACCTACGAGGATATCAAAATCCACATCGGTAGACCCTCCTTAACCACAGCAGCAACAACCTAGTACACAAACAGTGTACGCACATACAAATCAAAGTATTACCAGTAGGAGTGTCACACTGACTGGCGATACTGAGAGAAGTTAACAGATAGGGTATCACATAGCCTGCTATTACTCTAGCTAAGCATACTCAATGCAATAACAACCAGCAAAAAGCATTTGGACCCCAGACTCCCTGCCAATATATAAACTAATGTCCAAAAGAAACGATACCACACATTTTTCTAAATATTTTGATTATGAAGAGTTAATTTTCACCTGAAAAGGTACTTTTGCGCATCCTACGTTCCAAAGCAAACGTATTCGGTCGATAAAACCGGGAACATTTGATCAATTGAGAAAAAAGCGTGCCATTTTCCCAAATGACGTTCCGTCCCGTAACACGAAATACACGTGCATATCTTCTGTATAAAACTGCAGACCCGACACGTTGGGATCACAGCAACAAAAAGCACACAAAGAAATGCCACGTTTGACAGCGATTGAGAGAGAGAATGCTCCAACAGGGAGCTACGCAGAAGGTTAGGATGCGCGCGCATAACCGTCACCAGGTTAATGCAGCGGTTGCGTCAACAGGTCGGACAGCAGACAGGCCGAGAACCGGGAGACCACGGGTGACCACGCCTATTGAAGACCGCCACATCCGGGTACTTAACCTTCGGAACCGCTTCGTAACGGCGACGTTAACGGCACGGTAGGCACTCGGACACGTGATAAGTCGACAAACCGTGTACAGGAGACTGCGGGCACATGGTATCCGAGCACGTCGCCCCTACCGCGGAGCGTTCCTGACACCTCAACACCGACTAAACAGACGGATATGGGCCAGGCGACTTCGACGGTGGCAACGGTAGAACGTGTTATGTTTTCTGACGAATGCAGATTTTGCATCTTCAGGAACGACGGCCGGCAGCGTGTGTACCGAAGAGTAGGTGAACGTTTGGCACCGAACTGCATCCATCAAGTCAGGCCATATGGAGGCGGAGGTTTAATAGTTTGGGGTGGAATCTGCGGTGACGTCAAAACGAGACTCGTCGTTATTCGAGGAAACCTAAATGCGCAGCGTTATCTTGATGACATCTTACAACCAGTTGTGGTGCCATTCATCCAACAACAGCCTAATGGTATCATTTTCCAGCACGATAATGCGAGACCTCACACGGCAAGGCTGACCCAGAACTTCCTAGCAAACGCCAACATTCACGTTTTACCATGGCCGGCATGTTCACCGGACATGAACACATGTGGGACATTCTCGGCCGCAAAGTCAGGAATCGCCCTGTGCCTCCAGTTAACCTACAGGAATTGGAACAATGCCTCCTTCATGAATGGCAACGCATCCCCCCCCCCACCCCCCCACCCCCCCCCCACCCCAAACGTCATCAGACGTCTGACGTCATCAGCCCGTAGACGTTTTCTAGATTGTATTGACGCTCACGGTGGACATACCCGGTACTAACGTGAATTTGAGACGTGTGTTGTGACATTTTCCACACTTGACTCACAATACTGTGTGCCTCATTACCGGCAACACGGACGTAAGCTGTAAGTTCTCCTGTTAGAAAACTTGTACTGATATACTATGTTTACGCCAATAATCATACAGTGGCAGCAGACTTCAACGGTATGAAAATCAGTAAACGGTTTGGGGCTCGGCGACAAATTCGATCTCACATTGTTGACATCTGTCGTAACTGGAACGCTAAACTAACGCTCAACAGCTAAAAATAGCTATAAACAAAGACCCAGAATGTAGCTATATAACAACGTAACTAATACTATGAACTTTAGAAAACCCACTAGATTATTCTCCTATTGATTGACGATATCACATAGACTCGGCGGGAAGAGACGACTTGGGTATCATCGAAAACTGGGACCGGAGATTACATCCGGAAGATGAAACAGTTACAATCGAGCAGAAACGGAAAATGAATAGTTATAAATGCTCTGAAAGGGCTCGGACAATTCGGATAATTATGAACTTATTGTCACTAATGAAACATTCGACGTAATTTGGAAAGCTACCAATTTTCCAAGCTTTTCTGAGGCCTTGAATGTTGTAGTCGTGATCAAACAACGTCTGTGCAAGAGCTGTAAGACGCTTTTTGACATTTTGGTAGAAAGGGCATGCTCGATTGTACGTCAAAAGTTGTGAAATATAAACACCAAGGGATGGGGCTGCAGGACTATTGCTCAACATACACTTAAAGTTGACTATTGGAAAGTCATCTATCTTGTCATACAGTCTTTTGAGGAGTGTTTTGTCACTCTGAATCTTTATGCATTGTTGTAAATATGAAACAGTGTGACTGGTCTCCTACATCTCTAGCTCAGGTTGGTAAATCAGTGGAAGGCAGTTGGCTATGTGATGGTTTTTGAACGATATCATCGATATACCTGAAGCTTATCTTCTTGGCAATATTACCTTCTTTTGACTTTGCTAATCCCAGCACAAATGCCGATTCGTACGCATTAAGACACAGATCAACAATTCAAATAATTTCTTTAGAATATTACCAAACCAAATGTCACAGACATTTACTTTGAACGTTATGATCATATTTCAGTTATTTCTCTCTCTGAATTTAGAAGCAACTCAAATCAAAGGGGAACCACTCTTATGATCAAAGTTTACAGAGGAATATTGCATGCAGTTCATTGCCATACACTAAATATTTTGTGGCTGCTCAAAGTCAATAATACACTATCTACAATGGCTAGTGAATTGATTACAAAAGTCATATGCAAACATTGTAATATCTTTTAGAATCAAAGGACGTGGACAAATGCAGCTTTGGAAATGAATGTTTCATTAAAGTATAACAAGACAGGGTCCGGTGTAGCACACCTTGAATTGTTTAATGCTTTAATTTACAAATGTGAGGGGCATCCGAAATCTAGTCATGCATTGTTGCTAATCTGATATGAACACGGTACAGCTGTCCCAAGCTATATGTATAGCATGATAGACTATCAAATGATTGCCACAGATTGTGTGGAAATAAATATTTATGTTCAAGTGAATATATTTACTTGTCAATTCTATTGTATGGCTGTCATTTTGCAGGTTTGAGAAGGTTATGAAATGCTACAAATCCTCTCAAGTAAACTTACCTTTAGAAGTACTCTTTGTGCTAAAAGTTGTTTATGGATATGGCTTGAAACAATTGTAAGATTAAAAGTAAGTTTTGGTATTTCTTAGCATTTACTCGGACTTCAGACATCTAAAGCACTCTAGAGAAAACTTACTGTTACGTCCTTGATATATGGGTATTCACTGTTTGAATGTTTGGACAAGATCATCGACTTACATGCATCATGTACTAACTTTTGCAAAACACACACAAAGCCATTATGTTGGGTAATAATTTAAATAGAAACCTTGAAATTATCATATTGCTTTAGCTGCAATATTGAATTCTTTATCAACATGCAATATATTCATAACATTACATAACACATAAATTAACTGTCCTTAACGTTGAATAAGCTATGCATACGGTTGAAGATATTCATGGAGTTGGGTCTAAATAATGAATAATAAAGTGTATGTGCCTAATTGGCGTGAACAGCTGCACAACACCAATGTTGACATGGCAATCTTCTATGCAAGCTTATATATTACGTACACTACACATGTATGAAATCGCTTCAACACGATCTAGGTTTCAATGAAACAGTTGCGATGTTATGTACACTTTATATGCAATTCTGTCGATAATCAGAGTATGTTTTTAAGTAAATTATACATCTGTTGATTGATCTCGATCATATTTCAGGTCTACATATAGACATACATATGTACATATATAAGCATGTCAACTTCTATCTCTATATATCTGCAACAGACATCATTCGACACGGCCACCAGGGATGAGGTTAGTTGCATTATTGTTTATCACATTTCTCTTCTTATACCCAATCTTAATCTATTAACCCTTCAATGTTCTCAGACATATTTTCGATTTCGTTTGATTATATGACATTTCTTATTTAAAGTATTGTAAATGTGACTTCGTCGAGGTTTCCGCCAAATCTGGGCTTAGGGAGTACTTTATCTGCCCTATTTGAGTTTGATTTTTGCACACATTCATCTCGACCATAGGATTGGTGATTGACAACAATTAATATTCATTCGCGGTAACGTTGTAAACATAGAGACGTGTTATTATTTGATAGGAAGGTATTGTTCATATGACACAGTTATAGTTGATGTTTGACAAGAATTGAAAATAATAGAATAAGGAAATAGCAATTGTCGTTGCGTTTGAACCAATTTTAGTAACACGTATATATAGTGTAGTACTCATTATCGGACATTGGTAGCTTGTTCCAATCCTATGCAAGATGTAATGCTTTTCTAGGAATCACACAAATAGGATACTGCAGCGACGGCGTCAAAGGTAGTAAATTAGGATGTGTAAATGTAAATGGCTTCTTCCGATGAAAGGGGCCATACCATGTTGCAAGTACCGCTAACGAAGCATGGATGTATTGGGAGTGTGTGTGTTTTCTGTTCATCAACAATGTTGGGATTTCTTTGACAGAATGTCATGGGCATTTGTCATCAAAATTGATGACCATAGATACAACTCTGTCTTCAAAAGTTCATGGCAGTTTGTCAAAAATGTTTACTGAGAAAACAATATGTGCATGGACTTCTTCCTAGCTAACATCTACGTGAAACTTTGGGTCGGACAATCATCACGAAGTAGGCATCCCCTTGCTAATCTGATTATTTATGCATATGTTTGTTTATTTATCAAAACACGCGAATGTAGCCACGTAGATGAACTTAAGCTTCAATTATATCGATGGCCTAATGGCGTTCAATTATATTCAAATAGTCAAGACCTTACCACTGATTTACCCATCAGAACTAGAAACATACTTCGATCTGCGCATAAAGATTTAGAGTGACAACAAACAAGCCACAAGTGAGGAGCTACGACTTTAACTTTCCAGCAGTAAACGTCCCATGTATGTGAGCAATATTCCTCATGCAACTCCCTGTTTTACTAGTTCCCTTGCTGTTTTCAGCTGACAAATAGACTTGCATTTGCATGTGTTTGTGACGATGGGCAGGATACCCTCGCCTATTCACGAACAACTGCTGTCATCACTATTTGTGAGTGAGTTATAGGTGCATGATCATGTTACAGTCAGAATCGTACATTGGACTGCTATTAACAGAGATTTCAAAAGATAACAGAAAAGGCGTTTTTGTTATTATTCAATTTCAGCTGAAAAAAGTTTACTTACATTGATAAGTATATATTCAATATCAGTTACGTGGTCTTTATTCTTTTCATAACACATAGCAAGAATGAATTCTCTAACCAGACTCTAACCATTTCAACGTTTATACACCAGATCCTCGTGCTCTAACCTATTCATAAATCATCTTGTTATGACCAGAGCTTGCCTGCTTACCTCAATTATTCCAATATTATTCTATTCTTGTGATTAAAGACTCACAACAATGCTGCTGTTGGTTGCTGGTCTGATCACCTTCTCGTGTCTCCGCCTGTCTGTCCTCGGTGCGGATGATGACAGAGACGCCCTTCTCTACAAAGTGGACATATTCTTGCCCCCAAAGGAGGGGAGGGATGAGAAGGCGGACATACGCAAGATTCAGGAGACTTTGAATAGTATTACGGACATCAGGGTTCTTTTTGCATTTAAGGTTTGAGCAATTGTAGAAACAAATTAGTGGAAAATGAAAAGCATATCATCAATAACGTAGTGCACTATAAATACATTTCAATTATTTTGCAATACATAGCCAAGGCCAATTCGCTGCCATATTCGTTTTAATTGTGGCATTACCATTTACACTCTTCAAAGAAAGGACCCCCCAGGACGATTTTTAGTAAATTTATTGTACTTAATAAAGTCGATATATTTAATTAAATATCATGGATACAAATATGAAATTTTGGAGCTCGTTAGTCAAATATTGTCGTTCTACAAAGGCATTGAAAACTGTTCATTGTCATGTCACATAAGGCCACAAGGTTGTGCTGAACTCAGTATCTCGTGTGACCGCCCAAGGCAGCAATCATGGCTCTGCATATTCTCGACACTGACTGGATAAGTGTACAAATTCTGTCCTGCGGAATTCTGCACCATTCTGCTTGTAACGCGTTGGCCAGTTGTGGGAGTGTCTGTGGCGTGTACTGACGTTGACGTACACGTCGATCGAGTTCATCCCAGAGGTTGAGATCTGGAGATCTCTACGGCCAGGGCAAATCGTTGGTGTTGGCATTATGAAGGTAGTCTACCATGTCACGGGCTGTGTGCGATAGAGCGTTGTCATGTTGAAACAGCGCCCTCTGGTGGTCAATGATTGGAAGAAGGTGAGGTTGAAGAATTCATTTAGTGATTTGCTGTCCACAACCAAGTCATATCTCATGGTGTAGGATATGGCCTCCGACACCATCACACTACCGCCACCAAATTTGTCAAATTTACGTACACAATGTGGGGCCAAACGCTCATTTCGACGACGATAAACACGTTGTCTTCCATCTCGCCGGTGAAGAAGAAATCGTGATTCATCACTAAACCACACTCTTCTCCAGTTTCTCAAATTCCAAGGCTGTAAGGTATGGAACCAACGCAAGCGTTGCTGCCGATGGATCTGTTGCACAACAGGGACGATAGCTGGTCTTCTGGATTGGATTCCAGGCTCGCGAAGATGGTTCCTGACAGTCTGGTCCAATATCCTCCTCAAACCAGGGATGCGTCCTGCAGTCTCCGTAGCTGTGGCATTGCGATGACGTAGGTGGAACAGTCGAATGTAGCGATCCTGTGCAGGGGTGGTAACAATTGGTTGGCCAGTTCTCGAACGGTCTCCAGTGGAATTGAACTGTGTGTATCGGTCACAAAGGCGGCACATGGTGCTGAGGTGGACGTTGAAGTGGCATGCAACAGAAGTCTGTGATTCCCCTCTTTGGATACGCCCTTTGGCGAAGTTCCGACTGGCAGCGCTGATTCTTGGCACTTTCGAAAATGTTGACAATTGAATGACGATTATTGGCTTATGCTTGCTTTTTTATAGCCACTACCACGAGTAGCGAATGCCATACGTTGCACGTGCATTTTGCTTTACTGTTTTCCTCCTTGACATTTTTGAACAAGTGTGAAAAGACATAGCAAATCGACAATGGCTGCGTTTTGACGCACCGTTTGTCGAATATCAGGCCACCAACATTTTCCAATTATATAAATCCAATTTATATTCCAGAATTTTGTGTGGTCAGGTTCAATTAACTACATACCACCTGTGCGTTTCCTTTTTTGAAGAGTGTATATTGCTCTAATGAGGAATCTTCCACAGAATAAGGCTCACAAATGAGTGCATTCTGCTTGGATGACTATTCATATCAGGGTGTCTTTTGAATTTGACTCGACACGAAGCCTTACAGGGAATTAATAAGGGCATTTATAATTGCAGTACAGACATTATATAGGAAAAATGCATAACAATTACTACATACGTATTGCATATGCCTACGGATGAAGGAATGACTAGGTAACTGTTGTGGGGGTTTTGAGAAAAAAATACATCTTTGAAACTGGATAATGAAATGGTTCTTCGCAAATGCATATCATTAAGCAATGTAAGTATTAGTTCTTCAAAAACGTTTCTCAATTGATTGTTTTTGGTTTGAACAGGAGCTCGGGAATCCTAGGATTATTCTTGGTAAGTCTACTACATCCTTTGCTTTATTTGTCAGTATGTATTTATCCAAAGATATGTACTCATCTTCTGTGTGATATTATGCCAGTTGGTAGTGCCAAATGGTGAAATTGAAAACGAAGAGGGAATGAATCATAAATGAAATTATATTATTTTGTTCTTAAAGAAAAAGAGCTGCAGTGTTTAGTTGATTTACAAGTAGGTTTGGTTTTTTGTCAGTTTTGACAATATACAAAATATGCACATTGTCATCATATGAAGGGTTGAGATCCACAACATCCTGATTTGTCTTTTCATATATTATACCATACAGGTCCATTATTCATCCTGCATGCAGGTGTTTGAAGTGAAAGTAGAATTTCTGTTTCTGTAAACAAAGGAAGCAAAGGACGTCTATTTCTAAACTTTACACATTTGGTAAATAAGTTACTTCCGAACGAAAATATCACATTTCAAAACATTGGAAAGAAATGCCCCTGGACAGAAATATTAAATACAATTTTGGAAATGTCTGAAGTGTTGTTGAACATTATGAAGAGTATTTCTTGTAAATATAGCATAAATAATTTTGCAGCCCATTACTTTCCTGTCGTCCATTCAAATATTTTGTTTTTCCTTTTATGCCTTTCTCTTGCATTGACGTTTTATGTTAAGTGTTAGAAAATTTGGAAATATAGATAGTCTCAAGCTATGGGCCTCCCGGACGTCATAAGGCACACTCTGTTTGTTACTACTTCATCAATCGATATCCTTTTTTAAATAGCGTTGTGACATCATTATTGATTGTTACGTCCTAGCCAATGTCCATTGTGACGTTATGGCAACTTCTGTTGCTATACAAACAGTTCTTCACATCCTGGGGCAAGGGGAGTGCTATATCTATTTGAATATCCCTATGGGAATGAACACAAAAGACGATTGAGGAATTAAAGAAAGATCGATCGTTCCACTCATGTAAATTTTGAAAAGGTCAGTCGCACAATTGCAAGCTTTTTCTTCCATTGGTATTGTTGGAGAATAGACAAGCTTCGTATGTTACATCAACATGTCCCAGCGAGTAAGTCCTAGAAACCCTTTCTAGACCAATTATGTTGTTCACATATATTAAGCAGGACAAGTTCTTAAAGATGTTTGTTTCTTGCACATGTGTCAGTTCTTGACGTCGAGAAAAAAAACAGTTGGCACCAGTTGACGGGCTTTCTATCACGCAAGGGATATGAATTCAGCGTCACAGCTCTCTACTCCTGCGAAGGCTTCGCCCAGGACCTCGGAGTCAACTTGACGAGGGATATGTTTGCGACATCTTTCGGGGACGATGATCTAATCATGGACAGGAAGATATTTCCTGAGAAAGGTAAACACATCGGTATTTGTTTTTCAAACTCCATAAACAATCAATAAACAGGCAATCTCGTCGACAGAATCGCTATAACTTGATTCTCTGGTCCAAACTGGATTATATACAGGCCGCCGTCGTATGATGCTAGTATTGCTGGGTCGGCGTAAGGCAACACAATACACTTACTATGCAAATTGCCTGAGGGGCGGGTATACAGGTCGAGCAGGTCATGCTTACTCTGTTAAACGCACGCTAAGAGAAACTTATAGAGTAAAGTTCAACCGTATCTGAGGTAATTCCCGTGCTCTTCATAGTAATGTTGGTAGTCTTTGACTTTGGAGGTAACATTACAAATCACATACTTGGAAATTGAATATTTAAAAGATCATTCATATAATTTTTGGGGAGTGACGATGTTACAAATTCGTTATTTACCCATTAGGCCTTGTTACATTGTGTTATTGACTTTAAATGAACCTAAAGCTCTGGAGAAAATATTAGTGTATACTAAAGGACTACTAAGAGAACACATTTGTACTGATCAAGAAAGTGATTTTATTCCAATTAAGCTAAAGAATCATTCATAATTTAGTCCTAATTTTGTGATTGCGAATTTTCAACTCCGTGACATATCTGAGAAAATAGCTTGGATACATGATTATGTATTTATTTGTTTATGAAAATGTAATGATTATCTAATGTATGTATTCATGTTCAATCATTATGTTGCAATTGTAAGGAATTTCTTTTGATTTTATTTTCAAATATAACCCAATGTCATCACCACTGTCAATATGTTATATATGTATATATTTATATATCATATTTAGGAGTATTCGTCTGCAATACTAAAAAAGTAAACACCACTGTTACTTTAGAGGGCACTGGGTCAAAAATATATTTATTGCGCTTTCAAATTTCCCCAACACTGATGATTAATTCTCTGAAATACAAGTGACAAAACACTTTCCATATTCATAAGAAATATCTTTCCTAAGCAGAGTCGAACTTTAAAAATGGAGATTAGTGAAAATGGTGAAATAAGGGTAAGGTAAGGGCGGCAGGTTACTTTGGCCGAGTGACTAGTGCCCTGAAGCAACAACGAAACTAGGTATAATTACCTATCATAAAGCACCAATCAAGCAGATTATACCATCCATACATGCAACTGTTATTGACCAAAACAACTGTAACAACACAACAATGTATTTACTTACATCATGTACATAGCAAACATGATACCTGAAAATATTGAAAAAGACTATAACTGATGAATATTATTTCAGTTATTATGCTAACCATCAGAAAGTAAAACAAAAACAACAGTTTGGTGGAAATAAGTGGGCGCAGTTTATTTCAAATTGGACAGCCTAGGGACACAAAACCTTTATTGGGTGCCTACCCGAAGGTACCTTGGCAACCCAAGCAAAGCAAAGGAAACACACACCTACGAGGATATCAAAATCCACATCGGTAGACCCTCCTTAACAACAGCAGCAACAACCTAGTACACAAACAGTGTACGCACATACAAATCAAAGTATTACCAGTAGGAGTGTCACACTGACTGGCGATACTGAGAGAAGTTGACAGATAGGGTATCACATAGCCTGCTATTACTCTAGCTAAGCACACTCAATGCAATAACAACCAGCAAAAAGCATTTGGACCCCAGACTCCCTGCCAATATATACAATAAACTGCACCAATGATGATGCCATAAAAGAAACAAATACATATCTGTATAAAGCATTACCAACACTGGTTAAGCCGCTGACCTGAAATGTCCATCCAAGTATCTGGTTGCCACAACTGATAGAGAGTCCAAGTGAGTTTTGCAGCAACAGTCACAATTTCTTTGCACATGCCTCTGCCCACATACCACTATACCTTATACATCGCTCAGAGAGACCTGGTACTGATTCACACGTGTTAGCAACAGTGATGGTCATCAGGGCAGCGCTGAAACATAAAGAAAATACAGAGAGCAATCCTGCTAGACAAGACATGATAATCATCAACTAATACAAGGGTGGTAATTTAATTGCACTAAGCGTTGTGACAACATCGGCAAGAAGAGATAAAAACGCGACTTGAATCTATTTATAAAGTCAATGTCAAGCTCCTCACAGCGATATCCCGTTCGCGGAGCTCTCTATACTATCGCTGCCACCAGTCAAAATTCCCCACGGTAATAGATGACCACAACCATGCTTGGAGTTGAACTTGCAGCCGATTGACCGTTATGTTTACAAACAAGTGACGACTGTCTTGACGACGAATACACTTACCCTGTTAAATTACTTTCTTTGTTTGTCAATTTGAATTTCTATTTCATTAAAACTCTCATGTATTTGATAAAGTAGGATTGTAAGGGAGACGTTGGTTGATTTTCCGATAGTCTGTAAAGTAAATTCATCTGCAACACATGGTCAGTCGTAAACCTTTTCAAAATGAACTATGATGGGATTCCCAAACACATAAAGAAAAGTATGAACGTAACTACATTTGGGATTAGAGGGCAAATTTCAAGATTCTTGTAATGGCCGCGCCCACACTGGTGGCAGCGATGTTACCGAGAGTGTGACGAATGTGTCACGCGCTTGGAAGGAGCTGGAGTCAATGTTACGAAAGGGGGGTAACTCTCAGGGCCCATCAATATTCCATGCCGCTAATAAATGAATTTATCCTGGTATTAGATATCTTTAATTTTGCGGATAAAAAAAATATTTAATTATTTCACAAAATAACTGTAACAATTCACACAAGGTATTTCTCTACACCACAAACACGATAAATGGCGATTACCGTTACATACAGGTTAATTTGGCTCGCATCATATTAAAACAGAGCAGATAACACCATAACCCTTGTTACTCCTGATCCTTGACCTATGACTTTAGATACCACTGTGCACTACAAGGAAATTTACGCCTATATCCCCATGATATACGATGTAGAATGATCAAAACTAGAGATAAACTGAAATGATAGTACGCTACAAGATACTCCAAATACACATACTGTCACAAAATGCCAGATTAATTAACTTTAATCTCTAGCATCACTTGGCTGTCGAGGTCACAGTCACTCTCTATACAATACTGTGTGCCTCATTGCCGGCAACACGGACGTAAGCTGTAAGTTCTCCTGTTAGAAAACTTGTACTGACATACTATGTTTACGCCAATAATCATACAGTGGCAGCAGACTTCAACGGTATGAAAATCAGTAAACGGTTTGGGGCTCTGCGACAAATTCGATCTCACATTGTTGACATCTGTCGTAACTGGAACGCTAAACTAACGCTCAACAGCTAAAAATAGCTATAAACAAAGACCCAGAATGTAGCTATATAACAACGTAACTAATACTATGAACTTTAGAAAACCCACTAGATTATTCTCCTATTGATTGACGATATCACGTAGACTCGGCGGGAAGAGACGCCTTGGGTATCATCGAAAACTGGGACCGGAGACTACATCCGGAACATGAAACAGTTACAATCGAGCAGAAACGGAAAATGAATAGTTATAAATGCTCTGAAAGGGCTTGGACAATTCGGATAACTATGGAACATATTTATACAAAAAACCGGCACAAAACCGTCACAAAAACACACGCAAAGGCAAGTTAATTCCTTACTTGCAAAAACACAGGAATATAATTCACGGAAACATATGGTACACGTCAAAATTTGGACTTTGAGGACTTTTTGTCACGGATGAAACATTAGATGTAATTTGGAAAGCTACCAATTTTCCAAGCTTTTCTGAGGCCTTGAATGTTGTAGTCGTGATCAAACAACGTCTGTGCAAGAGCTGTAAGACGCTTTTTGACATTTTGGTAGAAAGAGCATGCTCGATTGTACGTCAATAGTTGTGAAATATAAACACCAAGGGATGGAGCTGCCGGACTATTGCTCAACATTCAATTAAAGTTGACTATTGGAAAGTCATCTATCTTATCATACAGTCTTTTGAGGAGTGTTTTGTCACTCTGAATCTTTATGCATTGTTGTAAATATGAAACAGTGTGACTGGTCTCCTATATCTCTAGCTCAGGTTGGTAAATGATCGGAAGGCAATTGGCTATGTGATGGTTTTTGAACGATATCATCTATATACCTGAAGCTTATCTTCTTGGCAATATTACCTTCTTTTGACTTTGCTAATCCCAGCACAAATGCCGTTTCGTACGCATTAAGACACAGATCAACAATTCAAATAATTTCTTTAGAATATTACCAAACCAAATGTCACAGACATTTACTTTGAACGTTATGATCATATTTCAGTTATTTTTCTCTCTGAATTTAGAAGCAACTCAAATCAAAGGGGAAACACTCTTATGATCAAAGTTTACAGAGGAATGTTGCTTGCAGTTCATTGCCATACACTAAATATTTTGTGGCTGCTCAAAGTCAATAACACACTATCTACAATGGCTAGTGAATTGATTACAAAAGTCATATGCAAACATTGTAATATGTTTTAGAATCAAAGGACGTGGACAAATGCAGCTTTGGACATGACTGTTTCATTAAAACATAACAGGACAGGGTCCGGTGTAGCACACCTTGAATTGTTTAATGCTTTAATTTACAAATGTGAGGGGCATCCGAAATCTAGTCATGCATTGTTGCTAATGTGAATGATATGAACATGGTGCAAACTTTCTGTTTCGTCCTTGATATATGGGTATTCACTGTTTGAGTGTTTGACAAGATCATCGACTTACATGAATCGTGTACTAACTTTTGCAAAACACACACACAGCCATTTTTGAGTAATAATTTGAATAGAAACCTTGAAATTATCATACTGCTTTAGCACATAAATTAACTGTCCTTAACTTTGAATAAGCTATACATACGGTTGAAGATATTCATGGAGTTGGGTCAAAATAATGAATAATAAAGTGTATGTGCCTAATTGGCGTGAACAGCTGCACAACACCAATGTGTGTACACGTTGGAAATAGGTTTCTTTAGGAAAGAAGGGGAAAACAAGTTTGACATACAAATAATTAATTCCTTTAGACCTTTGAAGTCAAAGGTTTAAGCAATTATATATTTGGCACATTATCATTCAAGCTAGTACAAACTTTTACTGATGAGTATTTGTTAGCAGTTCTGTCGCTCATCAGTGCTACATACATATGTTTTCTTGACGTTCTGACATACGATCATGCATACAACTTGTTAGTAAAAGGAATATATCCGAGTTCTCTCATAGGAATGATCTCATCAGCCATCAATTTCATTTCAGACTTGACCACACTTGAGTACAACGAAAAGCTAAAATGGACGTTTGAGAGAAACGCAGAATTCGTCAAAGCTGGCATGCAAGGGACATGTTTCAAAACTCTTGCAGCTTATCCGGTTGAGGTAATCCTTCTCACAACACATTAATTTCCTATTGTCTCTGTGTAAACGGGCACACGGGCTGCCCAATCGTCAAAGGCGCAGCAATTCGCTTTGCAGAGTTGATCGTGGGTTCGAAACCCGGTTCGCCTCGATAATGTGTCTCAATTTGTCGGCACAATATCGTGCTGGTGACTTTCACCCAAGTGGTAAACGTCTTAGACCTGAATCACTTTGTGCCTTCCTCCCACATCAAGTTTACACGCCATGATACAGCTGGAATACGTTTCAAAGTGGTGTTAAACCCAACTCACACAGTGTCTCACTGAGTGTAAACCATTGGATTATATTATTCAAGAATGTCGTATATGTCAGAACTATTTGGTGAATTCTTAAGTTGTGCGATCGGGTAGCCTAGTGGTTAAAGCGTTTGCTCGTTATGCCGAAGGCCCGGGTTCGAGTACCGACATGGGTACAATGTGTGAAGCCCATTTCTGGAGTCCCCCGTCGTGATGTTAATATTGCTAAAAGCGGCGTAAAACCATACTCACTCACTCACAAATTATTAAGTTACTCAAACATCCAACACAGATATGTACTGTTACTATCACCAAACATCTGTTATCAATTACATATGTTGTCTTGGGCGTACCATCTGTTAAGCTACTTACTTAAATGAACACTACGGTTTGTGTTAATATACGAGTGTACATAACAATATATAAACGTTTTGGTGTTTGACGTTATAATAAGATGTTCACTATCTACTGTTTACGATTTTTTTCCAAACATTTCAGCTGGTATATTTCGTCACAGTTAACCCACACACCATCGAAGTGATTGAAGAGGGTTTGCACGGACCTAATCACTTTCAGAATCAAGTTACACGAATCGAAAACCTCGATTCGTACACAGGAGTATGCTGAAAAGACTAGCATGAAGTGTAAACTCGGCGTCAAAGTGATCGAATCTTTATATAATATGGTTGTGAGTACACTTATTAGAACCAGTAAAAGCGTTCCTTGTGAAGATGCGCAAGAACTACAATATGTTTGAATTAATAAAGTTAGGGAGTAAGTGAGTTATATTTTACATTGCATCAGCAATATTTAAGCCATATGGCGATGGGAACTAGGTATTAGATTTAAAATATCTGCCGACAAAGGACAGTAAAATAGTAAGGTATATCAGAATGAATAAAGATATTCATTTCATCTGTAACACTCGTTTCCTTCAAGTATGTGTTGACCTGTGAAGATTCCGGGGTAGAATAGGTCTTCAGCAACCCATGCTTTCCGTAAAAGGTGATTATGCTTGTCCTAAGAGGCGACTAACGGGTGTTTAGGCTCGCTGACTTGGTTGATGCATGCCATCGATCCTAATTGCGTGGATTGATGCTCCTGATGTCAATCACTGGATTGTCTGGTTCAGACTCGATTATTTACAAACAGCCGTCATATAGCTGGAATATTGCTGAGTGCGGCGTTATACAACAAACAAACCAAACAAACCAGCTCATATGGTTTCGCTGTGACAATGATCCTACCAGTTTCAAGTGACCTCCCCAGACTTGACCATCACATGAAACTGTATGTTGGAAACCTAAAAAATACTTGCAGAAAACTATTCCTCGCATTATTGGCTTGCTGGTGTGAAACACGGGTCACTACGTGTCCTGGACGTTATTTCTGTGGACGACCTACGATCCTTCTTCAGCAGCAATCTGGGGAGGATTTTACGAGTGATGATGTCGATAGAACACATCACCAAGAACTGAAGATGCAATACAAAATTCAATGGGAGTGTAAAATACAATAGCAGTGGTAATAGCAATAAGTTCAGGGATAATTTTATTCACCAAGTATGAGCAGTGGTCAAGCTTCCAAAATAGGCTGAAACTAGAAATCCATGGTGAAAATACGATCTTCCCACAACCGCTGGTCTTCATGTAATGTAGAGAGGGGTATGCGTTTGCCATATTATGTAGTGTAAATACATTCTAGAAAGTCCCATACCATGCTGGATTAATCTATAACCGTTTTAGAATATTCCAGATTACACTTGACCCCAAAAGCATAAAAATATAGACACTTTCACCCCACTGCTTACGTTAGATAGTAAAACATAACTGACAACTAGTTATTGTTAAAACATAATTTTATGAACTTCTACTGAATCTTAACAAAGTAATACAATTACAACATTGCCATATAACAATATAATGTTAATGTTAATTTTAAACCTATTATTCAACATGCATGCTATCAATCTTATATTAGGTATTAGGAATATTTCAAAATGACGTGTACATCTTGGCTAGTGAGGACCTCATTATTGGGTCATAGGTAGTGAGGACCTCACTGGTGGATCTTGGCTAGCGGTGACAAAATTATGGCTGAGGATACATGATAATTTCTTCTAGCATAAAAGAACATCTATATCTAAATCCAGTCGGTCGTCAGCGTGAATACAGGTATTATGTCCTGATAGTTACACTGTAATTGCATTCGCATCGTGTTACCTGGTGTGTCTGTATTTCACTTCTACTGATATGTTGCAACATACATGTATGTACACGTGCTTGTGACAGCAAAATGATCTGCTCAATAATGAAATCAATTTGAATACGGAGATATTATTACAGGCATTCTGTTGCCTGACACCGCATATCAGTACTCCCGGGTCTCTCTTGAAAAATGCATATATTATCTGGAAACAATATGGAGGCTTTGATCGCTTCCTGGCCAGCAATGATTTTACACTGGAAAGATGTTGTTGCAAACTGCCAGAGTCGCTGGTGATGCCAACACTGTTTCTACATCAAAAAGACGACAGTAACAATATTGGTAGTCCACCTGGAGGATTTTATTAAAGATATATTCTAAAGTTTGAGTTTAATAACTGTGTTTAATTACCAAACTTTAGCGGTACACAAGAGTGTGTCTAGTATCATGTTCTTGCACTTTGAAGGGGAAATAACTGCAAAAGAAGCCTTAGATGCTCTAAAGAAAATTAAAAAAATGGAAAAAGCCCAGGACCAGATTGATTTACTACAGAATTTTTGAAATTCTTTTGGAATGACCTTGGAAAAGATTTAATAAATTCATTAGATTATGTAACTTGATTCTGAAAGTGATTAGGTCCGTGCAAACCCTCTTCAATCGCTTCGATGGTGTGTGGGTTAACTGTGCCGAAATATACCAGCTGAAATGTTTGGAAAAAAATCGTAAACAGTAGATAGTGAACATCTTATTATAACGTCAAATACCAAAACATTTATATATTGTTATGTACACTGGTATATTAACACAGACCGTAGTGTTCATTTAAGTAAGTAGCTTAACAGATGGTACGCCCAAGACAACATATGTAATTGATAACTTGATGTGGGAGGAAGGCACAAAGTGATTCAGGTCTAAGACGTTTACCACTTGGGTGAAAGTCACCAGCACGATATTGTGCCGACAAATTGAGACACATTATCGAGGCGAACCGGGTTTCGAACCCACGATCAACTCTGCAAAGCGAATTGCTGCGCCTTTGACGATTGGGCAACCCGTGTGCCCGTTTACACAGAGACAATAGGAAATTAATGTGTTGTGAGAAGGCTTACCTCAACCGGATAATCGGCAAGAGTTTTGAAACATGTCCCTTGCATGCCAGCCTTGACGAATTCTGCGTTTCTCTCAAACGTCCATTTTAGCTTTTCGTTGTACTCAAGTGTGGACAAGTCTGAAATGAAATTGATGGCTGATGAGATCATTCCTATGAGAGAACTCGGATATATTCCTTTTACTAACAAGTTGTATGCATGATCGTATGTCAGAACGACAAGTAAACATATGTATGTAGCACTGATGAGCGACAGAACTGCTAACAAATACTCATCAGTAAAAGTTTGTGTTAGCTTGAATGATAATGTGCCAAATATATAATTGCTTAAACCTTTGACTTCAAAGGTCTAAAGGAATTAATTATTTGTATGTCAAACTTGTTTTCCCCTTCTTTCCTAAAGAAACCTATTTCCAACGTGTACACACATTGGTGTTGTGCAGCTGTTCACGCCAATTAGGCACATACACTTTATTATTCATTATTTTGACCCAACTCCATGAATATCTTCAACCGTATGTATAGCTTATTCAAAGTTAAGGACAGTTAATTTATGTGTATGGTAATGTTATGAATATTTTGCATGTTGATAAAGAATTCAATATTGCAGCTAAAGCAATATGATAATTTCAAGGTTTCTATTCAAATTATTACCCAACATAATGGCTGTGTGTGTGTTTTGCAAAAGTTAGTACACGATGCATGTAAGTCGATGATCTTGTCAAACACTCAAACAGTGAATACCCATATATCGAGGACGTAACAGTAAGTTTTCTCTAGAGTGATTAAGATGTCTGAAGTCCGAGTAAATGCTAAGAAATACCAAAACTTACTTTTAATCTTACAATTGTTTCAAGCCATATCCATAAACAACTTTTAGCACAAAGAGTACTTCTAAAGGTAAGTTTACTTGAGAGGATTTGTAGCATTTCATAACCTCATCAAACCTGAAAAATGACAGCCATACATTAGAATTGACAAGCCAGCTGGGAACGTTCAGAATTTTACGGTGGTGCTTCAAGTAAATAAATTCACTTGAACATAAATATTTATTTCCACACAATCTGTGGCAATCATTTGATAGTCTATCATGGTATACATATAGCTTGGGACAGCTGCACCATGTTCATATCACTCACATTAGCAACAATGCATGACTAGATTTCGGATGCCCCTCACATTTGTAAATTAAAGCATTAAACAATTCAAGGTGTGCTACACCGGACCCTGTCTTGTAATGCTTTAATGAGACATTCATTTCCAAAGCTGCATTTGTCCACGTCCTTTGATTCTAAAACATATTACAATGTTTGCATATGACTTTTGTAATCAATTCACTAGTCATTGTAGATAGTGTGTTATTGACTTTGAGCAGTCACAAAATATTTAGTGTATGGCAATGAACTGCAAGCAACATTCCTCTGTAAACTTTGATCATAAGAGTGTTTCCCCTTTGATTTGAGTTGCTTCTAAATTCAGAGAGAAAAATAACTGAAATATGATCATAACGTTCAAAGTAAATATCTGTGACATTTGGTTTGGTAATATTCTAAAGACATTATTTGAATTGTTGATCTGTTTCTTAATGCGTACGAATCGGCATTTGTGCTGGGATTAGCAAAGTCAAAAGAAGGTAATATTGCCAAGAAGATAAGCTTCAGGTATATCGATGATATCGTTCAAAAACCATCACATAGCCAACTGCCTTCCACTGATTAGCAACCTGAGCTAGAAATGTAGGAGACCAGTCACACTGTTTCATATTTACAACAATGCATAAAGATTCAGAGTGACAAAACACTCCTCAAAAGACTGTATGACAAGATAGATGACTTTCCAATAGTCAACTTTAATTGAATGTTGAGCAATAGTCCGGCAGCTCCATCCCTTGGTGTTTATCTTTAACAACTTTTGACGTACAATCGAGCATGCTCTTTCTACCAAAATGTCAAAGAGCGTCTTACAGCTCTTGCACGGAGGTTGTTTGATCATGACTACAACATTCAAGGCCTCAGAAAAGCTTGGAAAATTGGTAGCTTTCCAAATTACATCTAATGTTTCATCCGTGACAAAAAGTCCTCAAAGTCCAAATTTTTGACGTGTACCATATGTTTCCGTGAATTATATTCCTGTGTTTTTGCAAGTAAGGAATTAACTTGCCTTTGCGTGTGTTTTTGTGACGGGTGGCACGAGTTGGACAGGATACGCTCAACATTTCGCGAACACCTAGTAGTGATTCATGTGTGCAATTTGTATAAATATGTTTCATAATTATCCGAATTGTCCAAGCCCTTTCAGAGCATTTATATATATTTATGAGCATTCATTTTCCGTTTCTGCTCGATTTTAACTGTTTCATCTTCCGGTTGTAATCCGATGATACCCAAGTCGTCTCTTCCCGCCGAGTCTACGTGATATCGTCAATCAATCGGAGCATAATCTAGTGGGTTTTCTAAAGTTCATAGTATTAGTTACGTTGTTATATAGCTACATTCTGGGTCTTTGTTTATAGCTATTTTTAGCTGTTGAGAGTTAGTTTAGCGTTACAGTTACGACAGATGTCAACAATGTGAGATCGAATTTGCCGCCGAGCCCCAAACCGTTTACTG